TAATGTGTTTTAGGTTCAGGCGTATCGAAAAAGTATTACAACTTCCGCAAGCTACACGAACTCCCGTACCATCTTTTGAACGGTAAACGAATAGATATTCTTAAGTCCGACGTATTAGTAAACTTCGAGTGGACTTTGGCCAAGATCAAGGGAATGTCCTTACGAGATGTCTTAGATGACCTCCAGAGTGGTCTTGCAAGTGAGCCAAATGATCTGGAGTTACGTCTGATAAGTGAGACACTACAGCTTTCAGCAATTGCCCTCAGAAAAAATCCAAACCAACTGGCATCCCAGCTGATAGGTCGACTGCATAACATAATCTTGAATGACAAGCCAATGTCGATCGGAGATCCAAAGAAGTACCCTCTCGTTGGAGTGATGTTAGGCCAGGCCGGAAAATCTTCAACTCCTGCTTTAATACCATCAATCACGTGCCTAACACCACCAGGGGGCGTCCTATATGACCTTCTTGCGGGCCATACAGATTTCATAACGGCACTCACAACTACAACTGATGGACTTGATGCCGTTACAGCATCACGTGATGGGACTCTCAAACTCTGGGATCTCAGAAGTAGAAAAGTTTCAAAAACAATTGAAAATGTTGGAAAACAGGTAATTTACATATTTGTTGGCATATGTAACAAATGATCATAAAAATCACATAGTTCAGTAAAAAAGATGTGTAAGTTTTATTACGAATATGCATGTTTTCAGTTAATTAATGTAAAACTGTGTTTCTCGAACCACGAATATTTTAACAATTTTAGAGTTAGTGATTTATGAATGCATTATATCTTTGTACAGGTTGATTCACTTCACGTATGCATGAATAACTTGTTTGTTGTCACCACTGAAGCAATGCTAATTCGGATTTGGAATATTCATCAGGGTATTTGCATAAAGGTTATAGACGAGTTCATTGACCCCGCTATCATTACGTCTGCTGGAATTGAACAGCAATACCTCGTCGCCTTCTTTAATGGGTCAAATGTTATGAGGTCATGGGATCTGACAGATGATTACACAATGATTCAAGAAATTAAAATCCAAGATGAAGCAATTCATAAAGATGGATCTCTTTGCTTGTCGAAGAATCCATGCGGAGAGAAAGTTTTCTTTGCTTTTCGAAGTGATAACAAAGCTCGAGTACTAAATGCAAAAACAGGAGCCATGGTGAGTGTAAATTTTTTTGCGAACTTTGATACCGCCGGTATCTTTTTATATAGTTACACATGAGAAAGTGATATTGGTTCTTTTGGTGTTTTGTCCCGATGTACGAATTCTGAAAGTATGATTGGATATTCCATTGTGCATAACTCACTTCGGAGTGGGGCTTTAGCTTCGTGGCTAAGATGCCTTCCTTCCAGTCTATCATTAGCGATAATGATAACTTTTTGTTTTAAATCAACAATGAGAATGTGAATGTAGAATCAATTTGTTTATTGTGTATTACGTAGATACATTGCATACGTACCACCGGAGAATCTGCATCAATTACAGCATTGGGCGTGTCACGTGACTATTACATCATAGCCTGTCGCTACCAGTACATGAAGCTGTCAGAAATCTATCACTTAGAATTATATGATAACACCAACGGAAACTATTTACGCTCCATCAAAGGTGATACATTTTGTATATATTTGTTTTATAATTTTTGATTTTATATATTTTATATGTACCATAACCAAGTAAATTATCTTTTGGATAATAAAGTATTTTTGAATTTGAAATTGAATTTGAATTTTGAATATATAATATATACCGTATACAGTATATATATATACCGTATACAGTATATATATATACCTGTCTCTTATACACATCTAGATGTGTATAAGAGACAGCAGAAAAAATCCAAACCAACTGGCATCCCAGCTGATAGGTCGACTGCATAACATAATCTTGAATGACAAGCCAATGTCGATCGGAGATCCAAAGAAGTACCCTCTCGTTGGAGTGATGTTAGGCCAGGCCGGAAAATCTTCAACTCCTGCTTTAATACCATCAATCACGTGCCTAACACCACCAGGGGGCGTCCTATATGACCTTCTTGCGGGCCATACAGATTTCATAACGGCACTCACAACTACAACTGATGGACTTGATGCCGTTACAGCATCACGTGATGGGACTCTCAAACTCTGGGATCTCAGAAGTAGAAAAGTTTCAAAAACAATTGAAAATGTTGGAAAACAGGTAATTTACATATTTGTTGGCATATGTAACAAATGATCATAAAAATCACATAGTTCAGTAAAGCTGATAAAGTGGCAGGTCCATTTGGTACTGACTGGTTCATTTGTACTTTTGAACAAAGAAGGTTTTGAGGAACTACTGAACTTACTGAATGAAAGTGATGCCAAATAAACAAAAAAAGGCAAATATAATAAATATGCTGTAACTCAAGATGTGTATAAGAGACAGATATATACATGTAATGCTGCCCTCTCACGTCCTATAGTCGTGTCATATGTTTGGTTCACATTTCAAAACATATTTTCTAAAAAGATAAAACAAAATTATTGTGCTTTATGATTTCACCATTCTCGTAGTGTATAGCGTAGCATGGAGCGCATAGACTAATCCACACTCACATTAACACTGTTTAGAAAAACAAGTCAAACAAAGTTAACACGAGCTAACTTGATTAAAGGTTATTGTATTTGAGACGCTCCATCGTACTGTCGTTGAGATGGAATATACATACCGTAAAATCTCGAATTGTAGCCCTGGGCTGCCTTTTTTTGCGAATTTGTACTATTTGACAATAAATACGGCCACAGTAATATCAATCTGTATCATGTAGTGTAACTGACATTAAATCACCTAATCTACAGTAAAAACCAAGCTTGTTTTTAATTTTTGTTTTTTTGAAATTCATGTACAGTACTGTCTCGAGAAGAAGCATGCTGTATTGAAAAGAAGCACATGGGCTTTTTACAAGATGGGCTTCCTTTCTTGGCTAATTTTTCCACCTAAAAAGGTGGGCTTCAATTCGAGATGGGCTTCATGCATCTCGAGATTAAGCCCACTGGGCTTCAATTCGAGGTTTTACGGTATATGTACCTTAATTTGTATTCAAGTTTAGAAGCGCTTATGGATTTGATTATAAATATTATGTATTTATGATGATAAGTATAATGAAATGATAATGATATTGTTCAATTCAACAGGATGTACGCAAGACACAATTAATGAACTATGTATCAACAAAATGGGCTCCCATGCACTAAGCCTATGTTACTCAGCACAATCTAATGCCACGGACGTAGCAGTCTTCAACCTTGAAACGGATGATCATAAGCATCTTGCCCGACATGCTCAGGTAATACGCCCATTAAGTCATAAAGTAACAACAGTATCACTTTCCTTTTCAATTTGGTCATTAATTTTTATTGGTAAATCAAATTGGTATTGCTACTATTATCGGTAGCTATTTCTCATTGAAAACATCCGGGTCGTCAGAAGGCGTCATGCAAAAAGATTAAGCTATTAAGACCCACTCAACATAAGCTTTGGACAGAGCTTGAGTTCACGATGACCAAAAAATTCCATACTATTATAGTAGGCGTATTATTTATCATCATCACAATCCAGGGCCGTCAGATTCACTCCGGCTTTGGCCGGACCACCTTTTCTCAATTCAAATACATTTTAAAGTAAATATATACCAATACCCATAAAATGTATGAATTTATTATTAATGTTCGTATCACATTGTCTTTTTAATGTTATATATTTAAAGAAAATTCCACCATTCTTCTTTATTGCCTGTGTACATTTCAACTTTTTTTAACAGTTCTAAATTTTAGTAATTTTTATAGATTGAAACATGTTTAGAGGTATAATGGGGTTGAAATAAGTATGAATCCAATATCCCCACTAACTTTAGATGTATGTGCAACTTTCCAAATTGTTTTCACCTCAGCCCCAACCATGGTGGACTGAGGATTGTATAGTCTTTATCTCCATGCTAATTCTAAATATTGTGGCTGCTCCTTGAGGTTAAGGGTAGCGGATCTTAGGTTTCCAGCTGGGCTTTCTAGTCATCCAGAGGTGCCAAAAACGTTGTTCACCTAACCAACCATGGTGGAGATAAAGCTGATATGCACTCATACCCAATAACTTTAAATCCTGATCCCCGGGGTGGCGCCAACGAGGGTTACAGCCCCCTTCCCCCCCCCCGTCGGGGAAAGCTGCCCTCAACCCCCGTCTGGGAGAAAAAGCATAATTCCTTGGGGGGGAAAAATTATATGTATTTTCTACATATTAGTAGACTCTAAAATCGATTAAATAAGCCTTTGAAACCCCTATATTGTTAAAATTTTCGGGGCCTTCGCCCCCTGGACTACTTTCGAAAACTTTTAATCGAAGCTTTGACCACGTCCACATTGCTTTCGTCGGGGAAATCTGACCCCTCGTCGGGGGCATCGGCGTCGTCGGGCAAATCCTGGCGCCACCCCTGCCCGATCCGTGCATAGTAGTACAAAGATCTGCAGTTTAGCAACCAAATTTGTTAAGCGCCACCCCCCCCCCCCACCACTCCCGCTCTTACTTCTTTTAGTGGTACTGCCTGCAAAATGCTTCCGACTGTTATGTGGACCCTTAACACCGAGGCCCTTTGCCACGACACATTATGAATAATAATTATATTTACAGGAGTTGCCGGGTTTTGCAATAGCACTCTTTATTGTAATTTCCCTTCAATTCAATAATAGGCTCCCAGCGAGAGCGTGTATCTACTAGTTTTAATTAGAATGATTTATCAATAAACCAATTTATCTATCTGAGCCTATCTATTGTATCTAAATTACCTTTATTTTTATCATATTTTGTAAATATACTCGTGATTCAATAGTGTTTTAATTTTACTGCAATGAGTTTGTTTTATATCAATTCCAATTAACATCAAGATTGTATACACGCCTACTATCAAAATATAGAAAACGAACCGCTAGTTAATAGCTTAAGTATGTCATCAAAACAGCATACAAATCGTTGTAGTCTTGGCATTATAGAATAACAATATAGGCTGCCGGTAGAGCGTGTGTCTTATAAAATGAATCGCTCGAACTGATATCCGCTCGAACAGAATCTGGTACCTCGTGCACGTTTTCTTTCAAGTTTTTTTCATTGACATTCTCCAAAATCCAAGTTTAAAAGATCCACATTATTTTATACCTCCTGGTCTTTCGCCATCTGAATTTTTAACCACCTGACCATGTGAAATAATGGACCAATGCCGTCAGAACACTTTCTCAATTAAATTAAATTTTTAAATAAATGTACCCAATACCCATAAAATATATGGATTTATTATTAATGTTCGCCAAGGTGGAGACTGAGATAAGTATAAACTCTATCCCCATGCTAACTTTAAATCTTGTGACTGCCCTTTGAGGGGGCGGAGGAGTAACGGCTCTACAGGTTGCAAGCAGTTGCAAAAAGTTGTTCACCAACCATGGTGGGGCGTTCGTCCAACTAACTATAAATCCTGTTGAACACTCATTTATTGTATTCAACTGTTTTATAGAAATGAGTGCGTTATTATCTAAAATACGCTTTAACAAAAACAATGTAAGCTTTAAAAAAAAAAGTGTGTAAGAACATAAAAATGAAAACCCAGAAAAATGGAGAAATATCAAACTGACTTGATTGTATGGAAATGAATAAAGGTGGTGGTGGTTACCCCACAAAAGAGAGAAAAAAAAACTTTAAATCCTGTATCTGTGGATATGGGTAGCGGGTCTGCAGTTTAACAACCAAATCTGTTAAGCCCCCACCCCCTTTTTACTATAATGGCCGGACCACTTACAAAATCATCATATGACGTCATTGTTAGAGTACGGTATTCGTCATAGAGCGGTTTTGCTTCTCAATCTCAGCCTTGAAGTCATAGGTTCAATCCCTCGCTGTGCATTTCGCTTGTGTCCTTAGGCCTGCGGTTGTCTCCCTTCACCCAGGAGTACAAGTGGGTACCTGGTAGGTTCAAACACAAAATGCGCTGATTACGGCTGCAGCATGATGGAATTCAGCTCCTGGGGAGCTGAGTATGTGTTTAATATATGTTTGGTCCAATGACCAAGGGGTGATAATGTGAAGCACTTAGAGACCTTGTTGGCAATAAGCGCTATATAAGTCTAACTTATTATTATTATTATAATAATTATAATAATAATGATAATAATAATAATCATTATTATTATTATTATTATTGTTATTATTACTATAATTATTATTATTATTATTATTATTATTATTATTATTATTATTATTATTATTATTATTATTATTATTGGCACCACCACCGTCACCAGCACCAACATAATCACTGCACTGTGTCCATCATCATCATGTTGCTGTTCCTGGAGCAGTGGCGGTTATTGTTGCTTTTGCTGTTGGTGTTGTTGAAGATGATGATGATGATGATAATTATAATGCTTACTATATAATTAGTGATGAACATTAATAATGCTATTTATATTGTTGATATTATTCTCATTATTACCTTCTTAATTGGTAGGTGTCAACAATGGGGACGTGCGTGAACCTTAGCTATTGTTTAACGGCGTCTAAACGCGACAAGGCACTGCGTATTTGGAATTTCACCAAATACGTTAACGATCGTGAGTCTGGAGATAATAAGAACAAAAAGAGGGATGGCGTGGCTGCCATAGTTCCAATGATAGGGAACCCGAGATACGTGGTTGCCAAGACCATCAACAACGGCCCGCTCTCTGTTTGGAACGTTGTCAAAGGAAAATGTGCTGATAAAGCGGTCCGAATCGAGAGAGGTCTAGTTGACCAACATGACATTGTGCTCATCCGAAATAACAAAGCCGTCATTCTGTCTGACAAAGGCATGTCGACGGTAAGCGACAAACAACAATTTGTATTTCAAACGGTGTTCATGTACGATCTACGCTTAAAGAAGTATTTGCGTAAGTTAAACCAGGTGTTTATTGTGCCCTCACCGGCACATGAGTATAGACTTTTGGAAGGTGACTTGTTGATGGGTATGTCGGAGAATCGTGATCACCTAATTGTTTGGAATCTTGAAAATGGCCACATTAAATACAGGATTAAAACAAAGTTTCGTGAGCTTGAGAGGCAACGTGTGTTGAATCATGAAGAAGGAAAACCGACGTGGCGAAAAAGGCGCGAAATGACAGCAAAAATGCTACCATGGGACCGGAGGACTGAGACAACTACAGCAAGACAGAAAAGAAAAGATGAAGAGATGGACGAAGAAAAGAAACGAATAGACGACCTTAAAAAGGAAAAAGAGAACGCCATAGGACAATTCATAATGAGTAGAGATGAGCAAGTTATTGTATGTTCTTACTTCGCTCACCACATGTGTGTTTTTGATGTTGAAACTCAGACGCATACACAGACACTTGAAAATGAAAACTCAATGTTATTTCTGTACCATTCCTCAATGACAAGTAAAGGGACACATCTCGTCCATGCAAATTATGATGACCAGGAGAAAGTAAGCTACATAACATTATGGGACCTTGACACAGGGAAAGTAAAGAAACGTCTAAAAAATGAACCAAACGTATGCTGCATCGGTTTGAATGATCTTGCAGACAGGGTTCTTTTCGGCAACGATAAGAACATTTTAAAAATATGGGATGTACGGGGTCGAAAATCAAAATTAAGGAAACTGAAAACACCAGGACTGGAACTAACGTTGCAGAGTAAAGTTTTCATGATTGAGGATGGAAAACAAGCGGTTGTATTCAGCAATGACGTAACATTATGGGATTTAGACAACGGCTCTCCGTTGGCTATGTTCTCACCAGACATTCGCATCACATGTGTAGATGTTGTAATGGAAGGTAATCTGATTGTTATGGGATTGTACGACACGTCAGATATCGTAACGTTGCGCTTGAAAGGTCGTAATGTTAAATATCTTGATTTTAAAAATAGTGCTAAGTCACAGGAATTGTTTGGAGAGACAACTGGTGACACTACAGACGAAGATTCGTCAGATTCTGCAGCAGATGGATCTACTGGTGACTCTGCGTAAAGTTTACAGCTTTCATGACAATGTCTACTATAAAACTTTGGTCAATATGTTTGTTTTGTGTTAGCAAGCGAAATTAAGAGGCGTTCATTTGTGTATGCATGTATTAATTGTACATTACACAAAAAATATAAACGCCTTGCTTCAAAAAGGCTTATCTTGGACAAGAATTTCTGAGTGTTCACTTGTTTACATTTCAACTTTTGCTTAATTTTGAATTTCAACACGTATTAATTGACACATTAATTAAATTGGTGCTTTATAAGAAATAACTATATAATTTTTTTTAAATGTAAACATGATCAGTGTGAATTTAGATTGATTTAAGTCAAATTAAACATGAAATAAGCCTATTCACTTACAGTAATATATATTTCATATCTAAACATCTTTTAACTTAACTGGGTTTGGTTGATACGGATGTTTTTAATATGGTCTCTCAGATTAATTTCATCATTATGTTCAACCTGGAATATCAGAAACGTTTTATTCGAAACAGGGATTATTATTATTATTATTATTATTATTATTATTATTATTATTATTGTTGTTGTTGTTTTAAATGATGATTATGATATTGTTGTTGCTGTTACTGTTGTCAATGATATTATATATATTATTTCATTATTACCATCATTATGAATTCATGTTATTACAAAACATTAGGAAGATAAAATTAAAATAATTATGTATATTATGTTACGGTATAAATGTTAAACATGGTGTAAATAAACTCATACAGCCAAAATATATTTGTTTATTGAAATGTACAATTTATAAGACATTATAATGTAAACAAATGTAAATAAAACATTTTTGTTCTTTTATTTGTCTATATTTCATTTTTGTCGGCCGTAATATAATACCACAAGTGTTTTCAATTATGTTCACAATAATATGAGTTTAGGTTTGTGCAAAAAAAGTTCATAACACAACATAAACCTACATCAACAAGTGCATGACAGTGATCCACATTCCTTCAAATCAATAAAATAATGTCGTTTGAGGACCACGAGGGAGTTTGTCAAAAGACAGGGATACGGTGCAACAGCAAAGAAGCATTTGTGGTGCTATTGAATTTGAAAGCTTGGGCATATATACATTGAAAATTAATATGTCAGATGAAGTAAAGATCGGATTAATTAAATAAAAATAAAATAGTGTCAAAGAGAAATAATTGTCGTTGATGAAGCTTGTTTTTATGACTGACATGTTTGCAGTAACAATGTTTTTTAATACTAACTACACATGAGAATACTATAATGTAATTTCAATCACTAAGCCAAAATGTTATGATAAATCTCTACACCTAAATACCAAAATATTAGTAATATTATTCTGCGTATACAAATTATATATATATATATATATATATATATATATATATATGTGTGTGTGTGTGTGTGTGTATGTATATATATATATATATATATATATGCCTTTATGATCATCATCCATTTAGAGTTAAGCTAGATATAAATAATTATAGTTTTCCCTAATTATAATAGTAATAATAATAATTATTATAAATAAATTGTGACGTCATCACTGCAACTCCCAATGTTATTTGCCTATCCCCCACAGTCCACTAATTTTTTCAATTAGTAGATTAGTGGAATTTTAGGTTCGTGTTCAAAAAGAATTCCTCATTTTTTTGTCACCGTGAAGACATCGCGCACCGCGATGAAAATTGAATTAGAATTGGAAAATCGTAAAACAAGCCTAATTAGAACCCGAAGAAAGTTACTTCAAAATCAATATTAAATTTGAACAATTAAGGAATTCATTGAATCAATGAACCCTCATAAACACAACAAACTGAACGTTTAATAGGAATATTTTAGACCCATTTTAAATACTCAAGGAACAATGTAGATGTATACTACGGCCAGGCAGGAGGCCTTCTACTTTAGTACAGTTTGCTATGTAATCCAGCTAGATTTTTGTGCCAAAATGGATTTTGAAATTCAAAATGGCGGCTGATGACGTGGATGGTGCCAAACTTGTTTGAATTCAGCACACTAAAAATGACAAAGGTAGCCAATAAAATCCATTTTGGCACAAAAATCTAGCTGGAGCCAAATTTCTGACAGAGCAAACCGTACTAACTAGGCCGTAGCCTAGCCTTATGAAATCATCGCACGATTTTTACCTGTATCTGCATGCACCGACCAAAAAGGTTAGTGACTGTATTCTCTCTAGAATGCTGAAATGTTTATTTCTTTGACGAATGTATTTTTCTATTGACACAGTACAGCTAAATGTAAATTAAAATACGCACTCAGTATACTGATCATATCACTATAGCAACCGATGAATGCTACAACAGTTGGTTACCAAATACTAAAATTAATAGACGGCGTAGAGCATGCATCGTACACTAGCGGAAAATTATTATACTTAGGTTAAATTTAATGCATTCAAAAATTTCCTTATTTTTTTCAAGCATTAAATCTAACCTTCGTATAATAATTTTCCTATAGTGTACTATGCGGAGATCTACTAATTGCTTATTATTATTATTTATTATTATTATTACTATTAGAATTGTTAATCTTATTGCTATTGTTAATAATATCCAGGAGGTAATATTTCTGTTAATAATAAAGTTATATATATATATATATATATAGTGTATGTATATATATATATATATATATATACATATATAGTGTATATATAAATATATATATATATAAATATATATATATATATGTAATATATATAATACATATATAACTTTATTATTGTATTATATCCTTGATATTAATAACAATAGCAATAAGATTAACAATTGTAATAGTAATAATAATAATTTATTTATTAATATTATTATTACTATTATAATTGGAGAAGACTATACTTATATCTAGCTTAACTTTAAACGGATGATGATCATACTAAGCTGACGTTTACGTGTATAACTTCATTAAACATACAGTGCTTGGCAGTAGACCTAAAGTCGAATATTTTAATCCATTGCATTTAAGATCACCGAGCCATAAAATTAATTTACATTCAAACAAAATCTCAAACAGAATGTTACTGATGCTAAAGTAGCTAAAGTTAGATTTGTGTCTCTCTGGCAATCCAAATCGTAATTTAAAGACGACGCTATTTGATTCTTTAGATATTGCCTATCTAATAGGGTGTGGCTCTTCATCACTTATGCTAGGACAATATAAATGGAAAAAAAAATATGTTTTAATCATAGATACAATATCATATTGGAGAAAGCAAAGTATTGCGAAGAGCTAACCGGTCAGAGCTTTTTGTTAATTTTGATCAAAGCTATCTTTTAAGAGACTTTATCACACTCATTGCTGCATTTTGGAACTCCTGTCTTCGGATAGTATATATAATTGGGTTGACGACTGGACTAGCTGACAACAATAAAAATTGAAACCATAAATGAGAAGGTAGTTTCGACAAGTTAAGGCAAAGTGAGCGAAGCAAAACAATTGTAAAAAATGGTGTCGAACATATCATAAATGCACCAATCATAATCATTGTTGTTTTTGTTGCTTTCCAAGACACAGTTTCCATCGGTCTAAGTTGTCCAGGGACAGCGGCGTTGATTTGTCGAGATTGTTTGTAAGCTATACTATACATACGCATATTTAAAATAATAATGGCAATGTAGCTTATAAAATGCAGTGCTTGAGCCACTATCGTGATCAGTGTAACGGGGAATGTGTTTTTACAAACATTAATGATCAAGTCTGTACCACTCGAGTAATGTCCATCTGCCCAAATTACTAAAGGGATTGTCCAGGCAATGCATATTAATGAAAATATTCCAATCTTTTTCCTAGTTGTCTGATAGGAAAATGGTCGCGTTATCAAAAAGTATCTGTCTACTGAAATCGCCAATAGGTGAATCAATGATACAAATGTAAGGTATATCATCAGTACAAATGTCCACTGACCACTAACCGTACTTGGCCTACATACCATTGGCAAACTGGATGTAAGGTCGACAATTGCAAGACTGGCAGTGAGGTAATTGCTGCAAGTGTGAAGTGAGGGACATTTAATTATGACAGCAACGACAAAAATGTTACCAAAAAAAGCAAATATTCCAAGTATACCAACCATTATATCCACAATCGTTAAATTATCGCCTGAATATGCTAAAAAATAAGAAGTCGAATTAATCTCCATTTTTTGTTCACTTGTTGGATATTTTATTTTACAAACATGCGGACTGTGACTATTCTGATCTAATAATTGTATAGAATTCAAGGCCCGCTACCTAATAAAGCTTTAAGTTGGTAGAATCCAATCAATATGTCAATTACGTCATTCAATTTTGATTTTCTGATACATTTCTTAATTCCTACGTTTTGAAACTCTTGTCGTCGGATGGTGTATATGACTGGATTAACGACTGGACCAACTGTTATTGCTACAAACAACACATATTGAAGCCAATCAATATGTCAATTACGTCAATGATCTAAATTGAACATCAGTTATGAGAGCAGCAATAACAAATTCACATTGTTCACACGTGTCACGAGACATTATATTACATTTTGGTAACTTGGGTTCCAGGCCAGCACAAAGACTGCCAGTAGCTTTGCCCGTTGAAAAACGTGTATCTAAGGATCCGTTGGAGAATCTATGGCTGAGCGAACAGGTACATCAAAACAGAAATATTTGATTATAATCGAGTAATAAATACATACTGTAGAGTATTTCTTACTTTCCAATTAAAATTGGTTTTTTATTTTTCTGATAACATTTCTTGCTGCGTTTTGAAACTCCTGTCGTCGGATGGTGTATATGACTGGATTCAAGACTGGACCAACTGACATTGCTGGATACAACACATATTCAAGTAGGTCTGGTAATTCGCAGCAAAATGATGAAAGCATAATAAATGCAAAATATGGTGTCGAACATACCATAAATGCACCAATAACAATCATTGTTGTTTTAGTTGCTTTCCATGTCACAGAGTTGGTTTTAGCCTGTCTAATATGACCAGGAACAGCATCATTTATCTGTCGAAATTGCTTTCGAGCTGTAATATATATTCGAAAATTTAACGCAATAATTGTAAAATAGATTACCAGACAAATTGTTTGATGAAGTATCGTGATTATAGTCAAAGAGAACCCTGTGTTTTTACATACTACAATAATTATGTCTGTAATTAAGTTTGGTACATCGGCCAAAGTTATTAAAGGAATTGCCCAAGCAAGGCATATAAAAAGCATAATCTTTTTAATTGTCTGAAAAGAAAATGGCCGAGTTATCAACAAGTATTTGTCTACAGACATCGCCAAAAGATGAGTCAACGATGTAACAGTAAGATACATCATTATTTTAAACAACAACGGACTTCTCGTTAAAATTAGCGTCATTACTAATATCATACTGGATATATAATCGACAATTGCAAGACTAGCAGTGAGATAATTGCTGTAAGTGCGAAGTGCAGGACATTTTACGATTACTGCAACAACAAAAATGTTACCAAGAAAACCGAATATTCCAAATAAACAAATGATTACATTCATAATCTCAACAGTGGGCGTCCCACCTGAAGCGTCCGTCATGTTATTCTCCATTTCGATACATTGGTCTACACTGATTCTAGAAACATGCTTACGGTAAAAGGACAGACCGCATATACACATGAAAATCTTGACCAACGGCTAATAAAGCTTTGGCTTTGTAAATAAAGCCACTTAAAGCAAACAATAATATCTAATATAGTGTCAGTTCCATATACTTAGGCGTCAATCATAAGAATTCACTAATAACTGATTTTCATTATTAAAAGTGTCACGTGTTACATAAGGTTTAATCTATGGATTTAAATGAATATTGTGATTGACACACGAGTACCTAGTGGTTCTCGATATTTACCGAATGGCGCATCCAAGAACTACAAAGCAAAATAATTTTAACTGAAGCAAAGATACTAGAAACACAAGATAATTTTCGCATAGCAAACAAATACAGTATTTCAATTTATATTTTCAATTATTTTGTATGATTCCTGTATGCTTAAATGTATTTTTAATTTTTTTGGCGTAACGTTGATCAACACCATCATTTAAGAGATTTTATCACATTCCTTGCTACGTTTTTAAAACTCCTGTTTTCGGATAATATATATAATTGGGTTGACGACTAAACTGATTGACAACAATAAAAATTCAAACCATAATAATTAAATAGCGTCGGAAGTTGGCAGAAAAATAAGAAAAACAAAAGAATTGTAAAAATGGTGTCGAACATATCATAAATGCACTAATCACAATCATCGTTGTTTTTGTTGCCTTCCAAGACCCGGTTTCCATAGGTCTATGGAGGAAAAATTCATAAATTAAGATAATCAAATGTATTTGTCACTTAAATTAATATTGCACCATATAATGTTACGGTTTTTACGACTAAAATATCCGATTTTTTGTTACTGTCTCATTTGGCGTACCGTGATCAACGCAGGGGTGGCGCCAGGACCTGCCCGACGGAGGGACTAAAGGCCCCGATGGGGGGGGGGGCTAGTGAAGCGAATCGCGAGTCTCACTTGGCTGGGGCCAGGGGGCCGCCTAGGGCCCCCGGTGGGGGTCCAGGGGGCTTGGCCCCCCTGGAAGCCACGGATATTTGATGAATTATGGCGAATTTTTATTACTTATTTGATAGGCATCGAGTTACTATAATATGACTTCATGTAGGCTATGCTTTCTAATGTTGACATCAGCTTCCAAAACAAAAACATTTTGAATAAAGCAAGAAACAAAGAGTATGCAATGTAACCATCTAAATTTATTTTCAAATCCTCATTCTTGAAAGTGAAATTCTATATTTTGGAAATTTTGCATGAAATCTGTCAACCACGTTGTCATGGTCGAAGTTGCTTCACCTATCACGATGTATTCTAACCATCATGAGTCTATCTAAATGAGCATTTGTCATAACAGAACGCAAATTATTTTTAATTAGTCTCATTGAATTATTATTATTATTATTATTATTATTATTATTATTATTATTATTATTGTTTAATTGTGGTTGTTGTTGTGATGAAAAGTTAACACAAACGATATGGTGGCTAAACGAATATTACATGTAAATATTTTTTTTTATTTGTTTGTTCCCGACAAAGTTTATCGTCTTCTCCGACAGGGGGGCTATGCTTCCCCGACGGGGGGGGGGGGCTATGGGGCCACCCCTGTCAACGCCAAATTTTAAGAGGCTTTATGACATTTCTTGCTGCGTTTTTGAATTCCTTTCTTCGGATAGTGTAAATTATTGGGTTGATGGCTGGGCTAGTTGCTAGTTGATAGCAATCCAAAGAGAAACCATTCACTTTCAGTTCGTGTCGACAATTAACAACAAAATGAGAAAAGCAAAATAGTTGTAAAACATGGTGACGAACATGTTTATATATGCCCCAATCATAATCATCGTTGTTTTTGTTGCCTTCCAATTCGCTGTTTCTATCAGTCTAGGTTGTCCAGGGACAAAAGCGTTTATTTGTCGAGATTGTTAACAAGCTATATTATAAATACGTATATTAAAAAAATAATTATAAAGTAGCTAATAAATTGTATTGTTTGAAATAACATTGTGATCAGTACCATCTAGAGGTGCTATCGTCAATTTTTCGTACGTCAGCCCCAACATAATATGCATGTCCAGTATACATATATATATAGGCCTAATATGAGATCAGCAATCTCAGTGTCAGGAGAACGTATACTATTGTAGCCGGGATTTTTTCCCCCTTCAGAACAGCCAAAATAGCGCCACCGACTTGGCTCTTTTCGTTTACTGAGTGATGCATTCAAAAAGTCGCATACAATTAGTTCTATTCAGTTACTCATATCATCAACTCCTGTTCAGAATCTGAACAGTGGCAGGGACTGTGAGATGGACCAGTACACCGGGGTACACCGGGGAACCCCCCTATTCGTCTCAAAGGATGTACTGGGGTTTTTTTTATAGTGCACATGAGCCAATTGCGTACACTGAGCTTACTGTTATATTCCTTATCCGAGAAGACTTGTTCAGCCTCCAAAAGCAGGCGAGCCAGCGCAGATATTATGGCTGTAGGTTGCGGGGCCCTGTCTTAACTGCTCGGCCATTCGACTCGACTCGCCTCAGGAAGATAAATCTTCATAATTGAAGATAATCAAATGTGTTTTCACTTAAAATTAATTGCAACATATCATGTTAAGGGTGGTAGGGGAAACAAATATTACGTGTAAATAAAATATCCAGGTTTTTTTACTGTCTCATCTGGCGTACAGTTGATCAAATAGTTAACGCCAAATTTGAAGAGCCTTTATGACATTTCTTGCTGCGTTTTGGAAATCCTTTCTTCGGATAGTGTATATTATTGGGTTGATGGCTGGGCTAGTTGATAGCAATCCAAAGAGAAACCATTCACTTTGATTTCGTGCCGGCAATTGGCAGCAAAGTGAGAAAAGCAAAACCGTTATAAAAAATGGCGACGAACATATTATATATGCACCAATCATAATCATCGTTGTTTTTGTTGCCTTCCAAGACGTGGTTTCTATCAGTCTAGTTTGTCCAGGGACAAAAGCGTTTATTTGTCGAGATTGTTTGCAAGCTATAACATATATACGCATATTTAAAAAAATAATTATAAAGTAGCTAATAAATTGCAATGTTTGGGACAATATTGTGATCAGTGTAACGGGGAAACATGTGTTTTTACAAACATAAAAGATCATGTCTGTAACACTCGAGTAATGTCCAGCTGCCCAAGATAATAATGGTAGTGTCCAAGCAAAGCATATTAATAATATTTTTACACGTTTGTTGCTGGTTGCGTGGTAGGAAAATGGTCGAGTTATGAACAGGTATCTGTCTATTGAAATCACTAATAAATGAATCAACGATACGAAAGTAAGGTATAGCATCAGTACAAATGTCCACCAACTAAGCGTACTTGGCCTATATAGTATCATTGCTATACTAGACGTAACATCGACAATTGCAAGACTAGCAGTGAGATAATTGCTGTAAGTGTGAAGTGCGCGACATTTTATGATAACAACAACAACAAAAACGTTACCAACGAAACCGAATATTCCAAGTAAACAAACGATTATTCTAAAAATCCTCTGTAATTCCAAATCGTCCTCAGAAAGATAATAAGAATACTCTGAATAATATGAGTAACTATAAGAGTAATCTGAATTATACCACCAGCAACTATAATCATCCTCTAAATTAAATGAGGAATAGTTAGACGAGTTTGTCTCCATTTCCAATAAAATTGGCTTATATTGATTTCAGAAACACGTACAGTAAACATTCAGATCACAAAATCTAGTAGAAATCTTGACCGCTTCCTAATAAAGCTTTTAGTGTAATCAGTAGGCCTATGTCTATTACACCATTTATATAATTGGACTTTAGTTACGAGAGAGCAGTAATAACTGATTCTTATTTTTAATAAGTGTCATGTGACGTCATAACGTATAATTCTGTAGGGCGGTTGCAATTTTTTTTCGCGGGTAAAATTTCATGAATTATTCATAACTCTTCTTATAGACCATATTTTGCGCATGTGCTACTTTGAAGTCTGTGTAAGCCCAATGTCAGCCTGATATCTATGGTAATAATGTTCAGCGCATAGAGAAGTTTGATATGCGCTATATAAGTATACAATAATAATAATAATAATAATAGCCATCAGGGCCATAATGAAAACGCCGTTGTCTTCGTTTAACGCTGTTCAATTCCAACCAAGTTTAAACAGCGCCAAAAGGGCCATATTAAACTTTTATTTAAAAACGCCGTAATTATAAGATTGGCCGTAAGGGTCACAATGAAAGCGGCGTTAGTTTTATTTTAACTTGTTTTAACGCCGTTACGTAGTTAATTTCAACAAATCACAAGCTTGAAACAGCACGGAAAGGGCCATAATAAAAGCGGCGTTAGTTTTTTTTTTTATGTTAACGCCGTTACGTTGTTCAATATATTTATAGGTTGGCCAAGAAGGCCATAATAAAAGCGCCGTTCTGAAAACGCCGTTCACAGTATCTGGCGCAAGGGCCATATACTTCCAGCCAATATCACATTCCTTCTTTCAAAGATTTTTGTTTAATTTATCGGCAGTGCACATGCTCACGCTACACTCTGTTCCCGCGGTTTATAGAACCATTGATGTCCGTAATTTGCACCATCTACAGAATAGGTTAAACTATGCAATAAATCAATTGAAAGATTCAGAAACGGAGTTTATCTCGGATGAATTTATCTTCCGTAATAAGTAAGCATCTTCTTTTTGTATTTTATTACCTTTGCCTTGTGTGTCTCCGAGATACTCGCACAAATGAATGAAATAAGGAATGTGATTGGCTGAATGCCTGGCCCTTGCGCCAGATACTACTGTGAACGGTGTTTTCAGAGTACAGCCCTTTTATTATGGCCCTTTCGGCGCTGCTTCAACGAAATTTTGATTATATAATAATAGAAGTATTAGACTTATTGTTATGAAAAAGGCCCTTATTTATTGACTGATACCAGACTCAGAGCTGTTGGTTGATGGCTTGACACTGAAGTTTTTCAAAAAATAAAGCAATTAATTAGCTTGTTAATTATTATTTGTGGGCCGAATTTCGGGATAATTAAATCGATTTTGACGTCACTATGACCATGGATATAATTGCATAGCTCCATGCTTTGACAACGATGTCCTTCTAGTGGAGCATATCATATTACTGTACTATACACGGTACGATTCAATAGGTGTTTTCCAGCCGCTTGGCGCTATAACAATAAACCACATTTACCTTCTCTTATTCCTTCTCTTATATGCCCAACGATTTCCATTATTGCTCCGACACACAGCTAAATAACACGTGCTCCACTATGCACTGCCACGCCACCTCGCCCTAGTTCCATTTCCCCAAGATTACAACCTCGAATCAATCTGATAGTCACAATTTCTA